TTTTTTGAGATGGAATTTCACTCCTGTCATCCAGGCTGGAGTGCAGTGGTGCCATCTCGGCTCACTGCAACCTCCACTTCCTGGGTTCAAGTGATCCTTCCGGCTCAAGCCTCCCAAGTAGCTGGGATTACAGGTCCCCACCACCATGCCCAGCTAATTTTTTGTATTTTTAGTAGAGATGGGGTTTCATTATGTTGGCCAGGTTGGTCTCGAACTCCTGACCTCAGGTAATCCACCTACCTTGGCCTGCCAAAGTGCAGGGATTACAGGTGGAGCCACAGCGCCTGGCAGGATCTCTTCTATTCTTAAGGTTATCTCTGGTTCTGACGGTCAACATCCCCTAAACCAACAGGTGCAGGGTTTCTACCACAAGCTGTTTCCTGTCATGGAACTCATATCTTCTTTAGTTTCACTTCATTCATTTACTGAGCACCTCCTGGATGCCAGGGGTGCAGCAATAAGAAAACAAAGATTTGCCTTCACGGAGCTTACATTCTGTTGGGGGGAACCCAATAAGCAACCAACAATGTGTGATAAACTTAGATGGTGATTTGTGTTAAGGGGAAAAAACCACCCTAAGGGGATGAAAGCGGCAGTGTGGATGGGGGTCAGTTTTAGATGAGATCATTTGAAGCCTTCCCTCAAGGAGTGATATGTGAACACAGACCTGAATGAGATAAGGAAACAAATCATACATGTATCTGGGAGAAAAGCCTTCTGAGCAAGTTCGAAAGTACTGAGGCAGGACCATGTTAGCAGACCAACAAGGAGGCCTGGGTAGCTGGACCAGGGTGACACAGATGAGGTCAGAGAGGTGGCAGAATGCTAGATCTTGTAGGGCCTCTTATATCACATGAGGACTTTGGGGTTGGTTGGTTGGTTTCTTTTTGAGATGGAGTTTTACTCTTCCAGGCTGGAGTGCAGTGGGGTGATCTCAGCTCACTGCAACCTCTGCCTCCTGGGTTCAAGCAATTCTCCTGCCTCAGTCTCCCTAGTAGCTGGGACTACAGGTGCCTGCCACCACGCCCAGCTAATTTTTGTATTTTGAGTAGAGACAGGGTTTTGCCATGTTGACCAGGCTGGTCTCAAACTCCTAACCTCAGGT